ACCCTAAACCCCTAAACCCTGAACCCTAAACCCTAAACCCTAAACCCTAAACCCCTAAACCCCTAAACCCTGAACCTAAACCCTCGACGCTCCCCCCGGCGGACCGGCGGCCGCTGCTTTACCTCCTCGGCATGAGCTACGAGGCCAGCTGAAAGAGCAGCCAGGGGGTCAGCAGCTTCCTGGTCTCTCAAGCGGTTTTTTGGTGTTTGTTAAAGGTTTGGGTGTTTGGGCTTTAGGGTTTGTTGGGTTTTTGGGCTTCGGGGGCTCAGTGGGTTTAGATTTTAAGGTTTAGGGCTTCTGAGGCTTGAGGAACTTCATCGGGATCCTATTATCAGGACCTTTCAACAAAGGGGGCTTTCTCATCAGGGGTCTACGGTAGCAGGGCTTGTAGCATTCTAAGTTCTCGATTCCCTTCAGGTTCAACTTCGCGGGTTCCGGCGCTCGTCGTAGGGCTTCGGGACCTCCAGCACGGCTCTGAAACATCCTACGACCTTGCGGCCCAAAGCCGACCCGGGCTTGAAACCCTACCCTCAAACCCCAAGCCTCAACCCCATGGAGCCCCTAAACCCTAAACCCTCCCCCCTAAACCCTAAACCCTATGCCCCACCCTAAACCCTAAACCCTATAAACCTTATGCCCTAATTACCCTAAACCCTACACCCTAAACCCGACACCCTAAACCCTGCACAAACTCCTTCGCCGGCTTCTTCTTTTCCAGGCCGGCATGGGCCGCAAGGCTTTGGACGGCCGAAGCGAAAGGGTCGGAGGCCGCTTCCTCGCATGGCAGCGGGCTTTGAAGCACTCCCTGAGGATTCCTTCACGTTTTAAGCTTTAGGGCTTAGGGCTTAGGGCTTAGGGTTTAGGGTTTAAGGTTTCGGGCTTAGGGTTTCGGGTTTAGGGTTTAGGGTTTCCTTCCCGGAGTCCGAGGATTTCCTAGGGGATCCTCAGGGGCTATGGGATCTTCAGGCATTACTTCAGAATCCCTCACCTTTCAGGAACTACAGCCCGGGCCCAAGGAGCTCGTCCGCGCTTGACATCTCCATAGCTGAAGCCCTAAACCCTAAACCCTAAACCCTAACAGAGCTGAAGGATGCTCTCCGTCCGGGCCATCAAAAGCTCGAAGCCCAGAATGTCCCTCATGCCATCTCAGGGCCTCTAGAAACCCCCAGACTGCAACCATGCAACCCCCATTCATGAACCCTGCAAGTCTTGGGAAAGCGTGAGAATAGGGTTTCGTGGTGTGCTATGTTCTGACTAGAATGGGGGACTTTGAGAAGATACTACTTAGCCATAAACTGCTTATCGTACTTACAGTATAATGACATACCCGAACACCGTCTTCCAATTATTGAGGACCCTAGATGCCGTGCCTCCGGTTTCTTGGCCTCGAGACCTGCGTGTGACGCTAATCCCAAGGCCGCCGCAGCCAAGGGGTCCATGGCTGCGGCTCTCGGTGCCCCCTTTAGGGTTCAGGGCTTAGGGTTTAGACTACAGCTTATATCTTTTTTCGGAGGGTTTGAACCGGGTTGTGGAAACCTTCTGGTGCTGCTCTGGGGTTTGTGTGGATGCCTAAAAAAATAGCGCTCCATCAAGATTGCTGCAACTCTTGATTTCGACTTCGAGGTATCAGAGGTCTTATGAGTACTGGTCCGAGTCCGTGCTGCAATAGACGATTTCGCCCCATCTGTTGAACTTGGAGGGCTTCTTTCTGCGATGAGGAAAGAGCCAAGCTATGTGGCGAATATTGTGAGTTTGGGGCTCGTGCAGTGCAGGGCCATTCTATCGCCCTACGCCAGCATGTCTAACAACCTGCAGATTTACAAAATCGCAGATGACAGCACGAAAAACTAGTCCTATGGACAGCCCAAGCTTGTCGCGAATAATTCGAGGAGATGGGGGGATTGGGGTTGAACTGTTGAACTGTGGTAAGAGCAAGATCAACCACTTGTAGCTGAAGCCAGCATTCGGCTTCAGGGGCAAGGGTTGAGGAAAAAGGGCCTTTGTTGTGAAGTCACTCAAAGAGACCTCCCACTATAACCACCCAAAAAGGTACATCCTAAGACCTGAACCCCAAATCGCAGTGCGGCCACCCGGAACCCCAAACCCTGTAAGACACAGTAAGCCCCAAAACCTGGGCCCTTACGCCGTTCAAGCCCGAACTCACCCTAGGGCCTTCAAAGTCTAAACCTGCAGCCGCAAACCGATCTAGGGTTTAGGGTTTAGGGGTTTAGGGGTTTAGGGTTTAGGGGTTTAGGGGTTTAGGGTTTAGGGTTTAAGGTTTTTTTTTTAGGGTTACCCTTAACCCGATAGAAGCCGTACAGCAGCCTGTTATTGTAATTCATTAACCCGTCAAAGAGCAGGCCGCTCGAGCGCAAAACGGTCCTACCAGGACGACAGGCTACGAAGCTTGGGGCCTTGTGCGAATGACGGGTTTAGGGTTTAGGGTTTACCCGGTTTAGGGTTTAGGGTTTAGGGATTGGGTACGGTTTAGCCGTTTGCGGGCTCTATGGCGACGAGACGGAGGACGAACATGAGGGACCTGAAGTGGCGGGATGAGATCGTTGGTCAGAAACAAGACGTGTAGCACGATGTGAATGTCGCAAACTACTCATACTGCTACTATCTACTGCTAGGCCTCCCCCATGCATACAGCTCGGTAGATTTTTTCCGAACAACAATCTTCTGCGCAAGTGTTGGGTCAAAGTCGGGCCGAGTCAGGCAAGCCAAGCGTCACCCAAAACTCTTGGGCTAATGTAGGCACCTGAATAATTTAGGGGGCAGTAGGAGGGACCCCCAGAAGGGACCCCTAATCCTAATACCCTAATATAACCCTACATAACCCTTATATACCCCGTATATGGTCTCGTAAAGCCCCTATATAACCCCAAGGGTCCCTTTAAGGGTCTCTCCTTTAGTCCCTTGGGGCCCACTATACTGTACTTATAGCAAGGGAACCCTGAGAATTAATGTAGGTAACTATCCAGGCTTCTATATTCGCGGTGTAGGGCCTAGATGCAAGAGTTGAAAAGGAGCCATCTCTGCAAGATTGGTATTTCCATGCTGAGGACACGGATTTGACAGTTTGGCGAGTCGCTGTGGCCAGAGGCTCTGCCGATGAGGCCAAACAGGTTGCGCAAGAAAGAGCATCCGTGGCTCATCAGGAATGCGGCTTAGGGTTCAGGGCTTTGGGGAGATCCCGACACAGTCATGCCTAAAGCCCCGGCGTGAACTTTTAGCAGCATCTTCGTTTGAGCCACAGAGAGCCGTCTGCCTGGAATCAAGTTCCGCACGAATTCACGGGCTGCAGAAGCCGCGCCCCACTGAACCCCATGTCACTTCGATGAAATGTAACATGAGCCAGACCCTCAACCCTAAACTCCTAAACTCCTAAACTCCTAAACCCTAAACCCTAAACCCTAAACTCCTAAACCCCAAACCTTAAACCGATCTGTAGAAGGTCTTCGGCTTGCAGAGGCGGGTCGTGGTGGGGATGGGCCCTCTTCGAGCCTGCTCCTCTGAGCACAGGAGGAGCCCTTCAATTCTTCTTCCATGGGCTGAGGCGAGATTGGTGCCAACCTCTAGAATCTCCTCCTGCCGCTTAGTGTCTCGAACACGTAAGAACACCAGTGGCTAGCATGATGCAACGATAACAACAAGAGCAGCCTAAATCGCAAGAAGAAAAGCAACAACTCAACATAGCAGTGCAGCCAGAACTAATGCTGCTAGTTCTTCCTACAGCTAGCTGCTAGCAGTATCTCTCTGTTCGGGCTGCATGAGCAACAGCAGCAACAACAAAAACAAAAACAACAGCGTCAAAAAGACTTCTCCGTTAGCATTCCAACCACCGGCATCCTACAAGTAGCAATGCTAAAAACAAGCAGAATTACACAGACTGTCCCCTGCACCACCTTGCTTCGCTACAGCACCGACGGGCACAGGATCCATGACTCGTCCCTGGCCCTCCTGCCTGGCCCTGGAATGCAGTAAGGATCCATGGACGTCCAACAAGCACCACAACTTCACAGATGTTGCCAAAAGAGAACTTTGGAAGCGGCGGACTTCGAGGCTGTTGGCTTGAACTCCTAAGATGCACTGATTCATCCGGTTGATATCTAAACTTACACCAAACTACATACACATAGACCTTGAGTGTCTGCATAAGGCTCGCTCGCATTTTTGGGTTGAGCAGCTTGGGGGGGTACGAACGTCCGTAGCTTCCAGCAAATGCAAACGGGGCTCATCAACGACCCCCGCAAAGCCGAGCTTTCCCTGTTCCTCGGCGGATGAGGCTGCGAAGCTCCATGCAAATCATCTCCTTCAGGCAGAAGATGTATTGGATGGTTGGTTTCAGCAGGGTTTGGGAGCTTTAACCTACCTGGTCACCAGATTCCGCGTGTCGTGCATCAAAAACTTCAACACTCACGCGATCCCGAGGAGAGAGTGAGTCACAACCTCCTATTCGGGCAATTTTTGGAGACATGTCGAAGGCAGCAGACCCATTCCAACCAACAGGCAAACGCTTCTCCCGCAGAAGTTCAGTGGCCGTGTTCCATACAGCAGACAACCAATTGCCAAGCCTCTTCCCTTTTGACTCAGGATTGCAACCTACGACCGTGCTCAAAGCAGCTTGGCCCCTGACACCTGTTAATAGGCCTCATGCATCGGGAAAGGACGCTCTGAACCCAGCACCGGGCCACGAGAAGCATGGGCGGTGTTCACCCTGCTTAAACATGTAATAGCTGTAGGCTGTAGCTACCCTCCCCCCCCAACCTCTCCCATAACTACACATCAGCCTTCTTAAATGCCTGAACTGGAAAACTCTTCATGTTAACCCCAAGCCCGACGCACTAAAGCATAAGCAATAACCCTACGCCCCCGCTCGAAGCCTAAATTAGTCCAAGACCCCCGAACCCAAAGCCCAAAGACTACCCACAACCCCCCTGATCCCCAATTATTCTCAGGCCCAAACACAATGTGTCCTCATCCCTGGAGGTTTCCCATCAGACGCCGCCCATCAGCGCTGGGATGACGGGTGGCGGCGGAAGCTGCAGTTGCGGCCTCTCGAATGAAGGGCAAAGTGGGTGCATAGGGGCTTCATGAAGTATGCTCTGGCTTGTTTGATAGGTTCATACGCTTTACCTAGATTTGCTTCTGTGCAGACTAGCAGGTGCGAGCTTCCATCGCAAACCAAGCATGTCAAAAGAGTTCGGAATTCGGGAAACGAGCCTTACATGGGCGCACGGCTACCCAACGCATCAGTTGATGCGGCTTGTCTTATGTGCTGACCTCTGCATCGCCGCCACCACCGACTTCAGCAGGTCCGCTGCCTGAACTCCCAATAGACCGGCGGGCGGTGCGGGAAACACAGGAACTACTAACTACTCCTGCATGTTGAGTCATAGCTATATGTACAGAGCACACTCTATTGGGTCGCTGTTCTTCCTGCAGCTTCTGGGTCCTCAATCTCTGCTCCGGCCGCATTTACGTGTATTGCAGCTAGCAACCCCCCTGTGAACTTTGCCAAGTTTGGCGTACAAGTACCCCCGAAATTGCCCAAAAAACAACAGGGCTCAAGGGAGCAGTACCAACAGTTAACCCGGGGTCACGGGCACCGGGTTAAGAAGCAGCTTGTCAAGGAAAGGGTTAGGACGGTTAGGGGTTCAGATTTCCTGAAAAACGACCAGCCGCCGAGTCTGCAGACTCTGGGTAGGGCTTTGAGGCATCTCAGGAATTGAAACTTGGGACACATCCAAAACCCCAAACTGGGAACCCCACTGCAAGGCCGGATTAAGGAAATGCAGCTGAACCAAACAAGGTCAGGCAGGCTCTAAAGATGGGTTACGGCTCCCTTGCGTCGGAAGACTTGGAGCCGCACGTCCAGCAGCCCCATCTGCAACCGATGAATGATGCCGGGCACCTGTTTCGGGAAAAAGCGGCGCATGGGACAACTGGAGGAAGCGCAGGAAGAAGCCGTCCCTGAAATCGGCCAAGGCCGACACAGATGGTGATGATGATGATGGTGATGATGATGATGATGATGATACAACTGATCACGCACCTTGATCCTGATGGTGACGAGAATCATGGCGATGTTGGTAACGATGATGCCGCTATTGATTTTGGTGATGACGGTAGTGATGGTAGTGATGATGATGATGAACAGCATGCAACATGATGAAGAAGCTGAAGCTGAATCTGAAATTGAAGCTGAGGCAGAAGCTGATGCTGAAGGTGAAAACGATGGTGAAGGTTAAAATGTTGGTGATGATGATGCTGATGATGATGCTGATGATGATGACGATGAAGATGATGAAGATGATGATGATGCCAATGATGATGATGATGATGATGATGATGACGATGGTGATGCCGATGATGATAATGATGATGATGACGGGATGACGAAGAAAATTATGATCTTTTCTTCACTCGCCACAAAGGGAGGCATTCGGGGTGAGGGATCAAAAAATTGAATAAAGATCAAACAATTAAGCCTCAGGATCAAAAAATAAAATTAAGGACAAAAAATTAAATATTAAACTCCTATTAAAATCCTAAAACTACTAATGCCTCACTAAACAAGGATCAACAAAAATTAAAGCGAGGGGGGTTGGGGGGGCACAGCACCCCCCCCCCCATTTGCAAACGCAATGCTCGCAATGCTCGCAGCATGGGTTTGGAAGGGACTCGTAGCAAGCTTTGCCGGCTTTAAAAAAAGCGTGGGGTTCGGGTTGCAAACGCAATGCTCGCAGCGTAGGTTTGGAAGGTACTCGTATGCTTTGAAGCAAGCCTTGCCGGCTTTATTAAAAAAAGCGGGGCGGGCGCAGCCCCCCCCCCCATTTGCAAACGCAATGTTCGCATCATGGGTTTGGACACAATGGCGACGAAGGTGACCACGACTGGTTACTTCGAGGTCAACTGTTACCAACACCTTGCAAACGAACTGCCCGCCTCGTGTCGAGGCACCGTGGCCGCCGCCGACGCGCCAGCCGCCAGCGCAGGGCCAAGAGCCCGGAGCCAAATACGGCAAATCAAATCCTGAATCGACTCCGATCGACAAATTACCGACTGTGGCATGAACCCTTCCCTCTCGGCCGGAATCCTAAGAGCAGGGGCATAACACCCTTGACCCAATGTAGAAGCTTGAATGATTACCAATATTCTACGGTTGATGATATATATCCTGCATTACCTTAAGGACCCTAAACTACGGGAACGATGGTATGTTCCTTATTATGGGTAATGCAGGATTTATGTCATCAACCGCGTTCTAAGTGTTCAGGCCCCTACATCGGCCCTGTGCAACGGGGCAGTCCTGAAATCGAATCACCAACTGCCACTGGAGAGGAGCCTCCTGTTGCTGGGCGATCACAGGCTTTTGGAATTTAGGGTGTTTTGGGATTTAAGGTCAAATTCCAGTTTAGGCCCTAGGCCTTAAGCCCTAAACCCTAAACCCTTCAAGGCTAGGACTTACGGTTTAGGGCTTAAGGCTTAGGGTTTGAGGTTCAGGGCTCCGGGTCCAAGGCTGAAGGCGAACGGGGTGGCTGTTTGTTGCGGCCCATTCTGTCGCATCATTACATACATACATATACATATATATATATGCACATACGTATGTATATACATATACATATGTATGTGTGTGTGTGTGTGAATTGTATATATATATATAGATGGATAGAGCTTGTTGAATCCATGCGTTGTTTGTCCGTCTTACTTGCTCTACTTCGCTTGTCATGACAAGCAGATCAGGCGGCTGCTCAAATTGTTGCTGGAGCTTCCTTTGTGGGCTATCTCTTCGTGAGCGCTCGTTGGAGACAAGGCGGTCGGAGAAGCATGCTGAAATGGCAGACAGTGAGCGCTGTCGTAGTAATTATGCAGAAACAGTAGTGTGTGCTGTACTCGCAGTAGCAAGATCACTGGCCGAAGTAACCTTCAGACATTGCGCTTTTGTACCTCGGACCTGCGAGCGACGAAGCCCTTAACCCGAAACCCGAAACCCTAAACCCCTAAACCCTAAACCCTTAACCACAAACCCGAAACACTTTCCCCGTAGCTCCATCCGGGCCTTCGCTGCATCACGGCACAGGGCACCTGGCAGCAAGGAGTCGAACCTAGGGTTTAGGGTTCAGGGTTGAGGGCTTTAGGGTTTAGGGTTTAGGCGGTTTAGGGGTTTAGGCGGTTTAGGGTTTATAGGGCTTATAGGGTTTATAGGGTTTAGGGCTTATAGGGGTTATAGGGGTTATAGGGTTTATACTATCCCTTTACCTTATATTGGGGTCCTTATAATAAGGATCCTACTAATTAGGGTCCCCTATTTTCGGACACCCCCAACATGACTGTGCCGCTTTGCCTGCAAGAAAACGGAGCATCAAAGGAATGTTCATATTACCTGTAGAAAACAAACGGAGCATCAAAGGAATATTACAGTAATTACAGTACTTGCTTCTGTCATCACTTCTGCTCCGAGTTGAAAAGTTTGGGATGCGGCGGCATGTCGGCTTGGGAATTGGGATTGCATGGTGGAGAAGTCCTACGCCCTAGCAAGATCCGCACCAAACCAGAAAAACACGAAATCTCATGAATACCCGTAGCCATACGCAATACAGGGGCCGTGTTGATTGGAACTGGAGAGACATGAAAGGGCCTTGCTGGCCTGCCATAACGAAAATGTTGTGTAGCAGAGTGTAGTAGCTCATAATAGAGTGTCATAGAATGTAATATAGTGTAATTGAGTGAACACAAGTATCATACAGTGTCACAAGGTATCATATAGTGTCATACAACATCATAGTATCACGCAGTATCAGGAATGATAATCAATAACTCTGGCCAAACAAGAACCATAGCCACCGTCAAACTCGAACTCGTCATCATTGGCGTCGTCGTCATCACCCACACGAGTATCATTCTAACTCTCATGGTCATGCTCGTGCTTTCCACGATCCTAAACCCTAAACCCTAAACCGTCACAATCAATCCAGTGCTGTGCTGGTCGCTCACAAACTGTGGGACCCACCCGCCTGGAAGAAAGGGCACAAAGCGGATGCAGTACATCGGCTCCACCCCCTGGGAGCCTGGTGAGATGGCTTCGGTGAACGGGGAGAAACCCTTCTGAGGAGTCTTCGATAGGCTACGGGCCTGCAAGCAAGCCGTGCTTCAATCATGTACCTCGGATCACGATCCTCTTGGCGAGCATCGAAAGCCGCCGATGTTCTGGGGTTTCCGACTTTAGGGGCTTGGGTTTTGATGTTTGAAGGGCTTGATGGGTGTGTTGTGCAAGGCTCGCCCTAAACAGTCATAAGGTGCAGATTTATGGCCCATCCGCGAAGGTGGCGGCTGAGCCCCCCGGATCTTGAAGCCCCTCCCCCCCCCAAACCTCCAAACCGACACAAGTTCTGTGGAACCGGGACCGGCATAACTACGTCCAAACCCAAAACTGGAAGCAAGAACAAACCTCGTGAGAAAAAGAAACCTAGACCAAAGAAACCCGGGCAAAAAAAAGCTACGCACCCTAGAAGCCCTCGTCTCGGCCAACCCCTTCGAGAACTGGATGCCTTGTTTTTGGGGGGTTCCCTAGGGTTCCTGAAACCAAGGTTCATGCAATAGGGTTTAGGGTTTAGGGTTCCCCATGGTTCCTGAAACCAAGGTTCATGCAATAGGGTCCCTTGTCCCTAAACCCTAAGCCCCGAATGCTCCATGCAGAGCTCTGCTCCCTGCCTGTGCATGGAGAGATCCGCAACTTGTGCCTTCCACGCAGGTCTGGCTTTACTGGGGTTTTAGGGTCCACTTCGGCCCCTGTTAAGAAGAGGCTAGGGTTTTAGGATTCAGCGTTCAGGATTTGGGGTCGCACGTCGCTGCGGACTGGCGGCGCGGCCTTACTCATGCAGCTCATGGGATGGGGTTGAAGCTTCAGGGTTTGGGGTTTCGGGTTTAGGGCCCGAAACCCAAACCCTTACTTTCAGGGTTTGGGGTTTAGGGTTTAGGGTTGAGGCTTCAAGGTAGAATTCCGTGGCGTTGATATCCCTGAGCCTGGTCCAACCGAGCATGGGGCGAGAAAGGAAGAGATGGGCCGATTGGAGAAGAAGTTGAAGAAGAGCAAGAGTGGCAATGAGAGTAATAACAGTAATCATGAGAATAACGGTACTGATAACACTAAGAGTCATGATAGGAATAAACGGAAATTGACAGCTAAGGGTACACAATGATAACACTAAGAGTCATAATGGAAATACATGACAAAGAACAGCTAAGGGTACACATTGCGGGCAGCCCCACCAAAGCCGTAGTCGGGAACCTTGGGGACTTGTATTGTTTGTCAATATTCAGGCTCCTAGATTATGTTTGCTCTGGCTGCAGGCGGTGCAGCTGTAATATAGGGGCCTCAAGAACTAGAACAGACTTTGGGGTGTATGATATAATATTCTTACATTAAGCAACCCCAAAAAGGTTTTGGTAATTATTTAGGCCCCCCCCCCCCCATTAACAGGATCTTGCCAAGCATGGTCCAAAGATTCCTGCCTGCCCAAGGCCGAAGGTAGGAAAAAAAAAACAAGACTGTTTTGGGGCTCCTTATCACAATAATAGCATTCTACCCAACACCCCATTCTAATTTTTAAGACCCCTCCTAAGTTTCAAGGCCCCTATAAGACGACAACTGCAGCAAGCAACGTCTTTCAGACCCTGCCTGCCACGAAAGAGGAGGACTCCAGCCCCAGGCCCGGTGCATTCTGCCAGCAGGAGCTTTGCAAGTTTAGGGCTTGGGACTTGGGGATTCGGGCTTGGGGCTGAGGACTTCGGGTTTAGACTGCTTATTCACCCTTCGGGTTTAGGGCTTAGGGTTTCGGGTTTAGGGTTGTGGAAGATTGGGCCATCTGACTGGGCATGCGCTGAATCTTCCAACAAGAGATGGCATCCATCAGCAAACCCTAAAAGTCATAGGCAACATCAAGCCACTCAATCCAAAGAAGGAAAAACTTGCAACGACCAGCTATCAGGGTGATATTGAGAGGCGTGGAGTTAGGTGTTGAGGCTTTGGTGGCGGGGTTGAAGCATACTGGTTTGGGCGGCTGCCTATCTTTAACACAACTTTCGCAAAGGGCACTTCAAGCTGCCAGACTCGCCCGAAAGGAACTTCGAAGAGGAAGATGAAGGAAGCTCGAGGCCCGAAATGTGCATTTTACGGCTCTTCAAGGCTACAGACAAGTGAAGGTTTCTGAAGAATACTAGCTGAGCAGACCCCAAACCCAAGTACAGAACCCGTACAAAATCTGATTGCCGTATGTTGATTATTCTCATTGCTCGTGCTATAATGACTCGTATTGCTCTTCTTCTGATGATAATACCAACAATTCGCACGAACCTGATTTTCATACCAATGCTCCTCTTACCCTAAACCCCAAACCCGAAACCTCGTGCATACCTCAAGGCTGCCAGCTCACCAGGACCGGCAGCCTACGGCACGGCAGATGCGGGCGCGGGCCGCCCGGAGGAGGATGAACTTCTGCTGCTGGCAAGTCTTCAACCTGATCGGACCATGGGTTTGGGGTTTTGGGGTTTAGGGTGTAGGGTGGAGTTGGGAGGTCGGGGGGGAGGGAAGGCTTCTAGATTTAGGGCTTCTGGCTTCAGGGGTTGAGGGGTCGAGGGTTTAGGGCTTCGGCTCGTGGAGTTTGCGGCGTGCACTCCAAAGCCAAACATAGAGGCCTTCATAATTAGAATAGGGCTTTGGGGGTATATTATACTAGAATTATCATAAAGAACCCTAACAATACCCAGACTGCTGAGCCGCCCTTGTGCAGCGCATGGCGTGATTTGAACTCAATGTCTTCCTCCTACAATCTCTTTGTCTGAGTTGTCTTGTGCTGGCACCCACAGGACAGGAATCGCAGTGAACAGCCTTGGTACGGACTTTGACTCCTTGTAACCCCTTCCCCGCATCCCTGAGACCACGCTGCGCCTCTCGATGGCAGCTTCCAGCGGCATCAAGAGTGCCTGGCACAAACTTGGGCGGGTGGTATTACACTGAGACCGTGTTGCTGCAGCACATCTCCTTCTGACGTCTGGCTAGTGCTAGGGCTACATGCCTGCACCATCACCACAATCATGATCAGCAGTGGTACTGGTAACCCCGACCCCGCCCTTATGCGACTCTTCTCAAACAGAACCCTACACTTGACTTCGAGGAAGATCCCGGTTGAACACTACTTTCATCCGATATCGGAAATTAGTCGCATTTGCGGCACACCCGGAACCTTTAATTCCTACACCCAGGCTCACTTCTTAAGTCCGGTACGAAACCCTAAACCCCAAACCCCAAACCCTAAACCATATAACCCTAAACTCTAAACCCTGTAACCCCAAACCCTAAAACCCTAAAGCCCTAAACCCTAATCCCTAAAACCCTAAACCCTAATCCCTACAACCTTAAGGCCCTAAACCCTAAGTCCGGTGCGAAACCCTTTAGCCCCAGGCGGCCTGGGCCTTCGCCTGCTTTGCCGCCTTACGAGCAAGGTGGCGCTTGGTTGCCACCTGTTCCCAAAAACACGGGGGTTTATTAATGGATGGTTTAGGGTTTTGGTGGTTTTGGGGTTTGTAGGGTTAAACCCTAAACCCTAAACCCTAAACCCCTAAACCCTAAACCCTAAACCCTATTTTTCTCAAGGTCTGTAGGGTCTTGCCGGGGTTATAATGGGAAGGCTTGGTCTGAAGGTTCTCAGAGGGTTTGTCGTTCTCTACTTGGAGGTTCATGGGACTTAGTAACTAGGGTTATAAATAAGGTAACTAGGGTTATTAAATTAAGGTAACAATACTTATAGTCATAGTTACTCATAACCCCAATTAAGGTACTTATAACTGTACTTACCAAGTCCCATGAACCTTGAAGTACGGGTTTGGGGTCTTTGGGGATTCGAGGGTTCTACGCAGGGTTCTGGGGTCCAAGGGTTGAGGGCTTAGCTGCCAGGGCCTGGGCAAAACCCTCTGTTTTGAGGGCTTAGGATTTAGAGTTAAGGGTTCAGGGTTCAGGGCTTAGAGTTTTGGGTTTAGGGATTAGGCTATAGGGCTTCAGGGGGCTGGGGCCCCAAACCCTTCTGTGTCATGGTTTGTGGTTTGTGGGGGTTCTCGGAAACGCGGCTTGGAGTCAATTTTTATGGCTCGGAGTGTAGGAATTTAGGAGTTTTGAAGGGAACCGTGAGTAGGCTTGAAAGCTGGATCCTGTCTAGAATCTAGGGCTTAGGGCTGAGCGTCTGCTACTGGAGGATGGGCGGGTGCGGCTTGGAAACTGAAGTGGGTACGGGCCTGTCTCCAATCAATGGCAGTGGCCGATTTAAGTTACCAGAATAAAGAAACCCTATAGTAAACCCCAAAAATTTAAAAAGACAAATAGTGCTGGGATTCCTTATACATTACTCTTAAGGATTGAGGCTATTGGGTTTCCAACTTTTGGGCTTCTACTGTATAATTACTATAGATCCCCGAACCCAAACAACCCTAAACCAAGACTCAAACCCTCAAAGCTCACGAGACGCCCCAAATTACAAAAAGCCTCAACTCAAAGCCCTGAGCCCTACCCAAAACCCCAAACTCCGAAGCAAAGTCAAGACAGCCCCTAGGATTTAGGGTTTAATGCTTTAGGGCTTTAGGGATTTGGGTTTAGGATTTAGGGCTTTAGGCCTTTAGGGATTTGGGTTTAGGATTTAGG